TTTTGGTAATACGGTCCAAACTGCAAAAACAAAAACTCGCTGCCTTCAAAAACGTCCCACGTGCGATACCCTGGGGAAATGTCACGTGACACTACAAATCCGGATGTGACAAACCGGATGTGACAAACGGTAGCCACGGACATGCAGCCTTGGTTTACCGTGTACATTCTTGATATTGGACATCCATGTTATGATCAATTGACACCTGTCAAAACAAGGTATCCGCTGACCAGTATAACATGACCATATCGCGGGCTCAAGTTTACTGCTCCTCGAGGTCACGTGTGTTTTTGAAGCTGACCGCTGACCAAGTGCTGGTTATCGATTGGATCGCGGGATCATATTGGGTTAGCTTGTTCGAAACGGGGCAGGATTGTTGGGAAGCCGGTTTACGCTAACCCAGGATTAAAAGTTAATCGAATTAGAACTTTTTCTTCCATACAAATGCTTTTTGCTGTTTTGTTTTGCGTATATGGTGATTATTAAAACTCAAAACAGAAAGCAAAACAATATACAGAAACCTCACCACAAAGTTACAAAACTCAAATCAAAATTCTACCTTTTTCTGGGTTAGCTTAATCGGGCTTTGAACAACCCGGCCAAGGAGCTACGCTTTTAGGCTGGTCTAAATCTATATATTAGATTTTGTATGGAGAATTTACTTTAGTTCTAAACATGCTAGGATCAGTAGGGGAGTTGAATATCTCCTCTGTATAAATTTGGACGGAAATTGTGTCCATTTTAGATGGTTTTATGGCTTACGGCTAGTGAGCGAAGCGCGCGGGCCATAAATCGAAGGGGAAAAAACGAGGATCCATAACTTACAGTTCAAACCGAGAAGACGAGGTTAGTGAGATATTTATTATATCTCTGCTGTGTGTCTGACGGTTTCGGGTACCATTTCTATTCACGCAGAACGGCTTCAAATTTCTGACGTACCTCGAAAGCAAAAGGAGTCAATTTGAAATCGTTGTCAGTAAGTGACTCTTAAGTCGTTAGCGGGTTTGCACAATTTCAGAAGTAAAAGAAAGTTAAGAATATTTGGCGAGAAATCAGGAAACATTTTGGCAACAAAAACAGCTTTAAATTTTAGCGGTCAGTGCAGTAGAATACGGCCCGCTAAATTGACCAATCACAGCGCCTGTAGTCACTAAGAGATAAAATAAAAGCTGATATAAACCCTTGTGGATAACACTTATAGAATTTTCTATGAATATTCGGCATACAAGGCTTAACTTTTCAGTGACTGTTGCACTTTACGGCTTGAAAGTGTACGATTTCGGAACGGATTGAAACGTTTTCGACCCGCTGTTTTCGCGTAAGCTGTGCGCACGCAAGGTGAAGCTGATTGGTTCTTACTTCCAGTTCAGAATTTCCATATCCATAAGCGTTTGAAAAGAAGACAACTTCAATAAGACACTTAATTTATCGTTGTTTCCAATTACATCAAGTAGGAGTTAACATACCACCTCTATTAGCCGTTTGACCCCCAAGTGGCCATATACGGCCACTTAATGGTCGTGCTCTTTGTACCACTTGTGACGTCATCAATTTAAATGTCATCGGATCTTCTTGATAAGCAGATAGTAGTACTAGGCTAGGCCTTTCCGCGCAATGGTCAGGTTTAGATATCGACGACATTCCGAGGTCGCAAATCGAAAAACCACGTTATCAGTTTTGGTGCAAACACGGTGGTAAAATGGTCCACTACGCCTACGATTGATCAAGGTCCATTTCTAGGCTTCGCCCGTAATTAACATCCAACTTTTCACGGCAGCCAGAAAGAACATACAACGCAAACGGTAACCAGTGTAAAAGGGCCGAGAAAAACAGAAAAGAAAGGGGGCAACAAGCAAAATTGAAAACGGTTAATGGCCAAAAAAGAGTCCAAATTTTGCCTTACGCGCATGCCCGGAATTGAAAATTTGCTCAATTTTGTGCCTAATCCTCGAAAAATGTCTCCTTTTAGTAAAAATAAAAGCTTTCTTAGCAAAACTTAGGCTTATTTAGCGTCATGGCAGCTGAAAAACCTGACTAAATGGTTTAAAACGGTATTTTTTGGTATTCAAAGGGTTAAGGGGCCGCGCCCAGCTTCTTGCCGTACCAAGGGTGATTCCATCTTGTCACCCACAGAGGGATCACATGAGATAGCATTGCGCCTGCGTGAACTCAGTGCGTTGTTGCCTTCGTTGTGAATAGATTGTCTTTTCTGTCCTGCAAAAACTTGGTTTTAGCCACACAATACCGCCTGATTCGCCTACCAAAACATCGAAAGAAATTCATGTAGAGATGCACCCGGTACCAGGAGAGAGACCATCCAAGTCTTCGAGACGCGGCAATGAAAAAGACGGGAAAAAGGTCATAATTGACTCCCGTCAACACGATGAAGACATGGCAAGCGCTCAGATCAGTGCTTTGCAAAAATCTACGGAACAAGGCTTTTCCCGGATGGCCGAGTCGTTGACCACGGCCCTAACACAAACCCTTGAGAGGTATGTGTGTGAGGAGGTCAACGAGGGTGACTTAAACGACAATAACTTGTCAAACCCCTCACAAGACAAACCCAGCCAGAAGGCGGGAAAATCGTCTTCACCGAGCGAACAGATGGATGTTGATGCCTCGGTCAATGACCTTTTGTCTGATGCCAAAGAACATGGCAATGGAAAGCAACATGAAGTCGATGAATCAGTTGGAGACTTCCTTAAAACTGTTCAAAATGACCTGAAGTCGGAGGAGACGGGACCTCCCGTCCATGAACAGCTCGCTAAAATTGTGACGCGTCTCGTGCGAGACGGCATGTTAGAAGAGCAGCTGCAAGACAAGATAAACAAATATCCGCAGCCGGAAAACTGTGAAGGTTTAACGAAAGTTCGAGTTAACCAACTGATTTGGGATAACCTCAGCTCCACCATCAGGTCGCAAGACTTGAAATTCCAAAAAGTGCAAACGTCTATCG